ATAAGCTTGTCATAACTCAATATCCGACGTGGGCTTGGAGACATAAATCGTGTAGAAGGCTATCATCGTCAATAGACTCAAGTTTAAAACCGCCACACCCAAAACTATAAAGATCTCACTGGATGTAGTTATGTTTTTTAATCATTACAACCATCTTTTTTTTTTTTATAAAATAGGATAAATACATTATTTTCAATTCTATAAGTACATTAAGTATTTAGTGATTATTTACCAAATCAATATTCCAGTTAACTCGGGACCCGATATCCGAATTAAAATATAAATTTTGATGACTGATATAAATTTTGCAAATGTTTACATAAAACACAACTGGAGTTTATCAGATATTTATAAAGGTCCCAATGATCATATTCAATGTTTCATTTGATATAATTAAGATTTTATCCTAAGGTTTTTATTAATCATATCTTAATTTATAATTTTATGATAATAATAATTGATTTATAATACATACAGTAATGGAGAGTTGCTATATTATATTTTACAATACATGGAGGTGTTTCAATAGCAGATTTCTTTTTGGGTGCTGGTGGTGCTCGTTTTGTTTTATTTTTAGGACGGATGATGTTAGGCTTCTTCTCGTCTACATCTGTTTTGAGTCGCCATCATGGCTTCTCACATTAAGTAAAAAGGGATTATATATATATATATATATATATATATATATATATATATATATATATATATATATATATATATATATATATATATATATATATATATATATATATATATATATATAAAGCGAACGAAAACAAACTTTACAAATCAACAAAGCCTTTCCAAGTCTATTGATCCAAGATAAATTGGAATTAAGACAGATGTCACTTTTGCAGTTATTTACCAAAACCACTGTCTCTATTTTGCGGAATAATTCAAAGGGGATAATGTTTCATTTAAAAAATTATCTCAAGTGTGTTATTAAATATAATTTCGTTTCCAAATCCCGTCGTAGCTTATGTCAAACGCATCTATTTTTTCCCGCTTCCCTTAATTCTTTACTATATTTTATATTTTCTCATATTGAGCTCTTCTAACACGTCCATCGGTCTACACTGTTTTTTTTATTGTCTCCTTTATTATATTCCATTTTTTTTATTCTTGCCTGCGCTTGTTTTTGAAGATTTTTTCTTTGCCGATAGATATAGCGGTCTTGGTTGCTGGCCGTCAGGTCTCAGATTATTAACTGTATGGTTTAAATTAATAAATGTAATCAGTAATTATATTTTAGATGTTAATAATTTTATTAGCAGTTTTGAATAGAATACGGAGAGATGAGAACGTCAAGAATTTAAATTCAATTAAAAACAACAAAAAAATACAACTCGTGATCATCTTTTTAAAAACGTTTATTTATATAAGCATCATTACGATACTAAACAGTTGCATTTAAGGAGCTAAACGTTTAAAGGTTACGTGTAAAATATGTAATTTGTTGGTTTTTCTTTCTAATGTGTCCAGTTATCGCATGCGTGACCCCAACTAATTACGTTCACTTAAAACAAAATTACACTTCAAAACGCGAAAATAATCACAATTTGTTATGTTGACAACACCCCCAATTAAAAACAGGCCAGTGGCATGTACGTGAATGGCCTGTCTATCTTGGTCTTACATACAAATTCAAAAAAGAAGATTCTAATTTCGGTTTTTTGTTACCACAAAACTCTGTCATTTATTTATTTATTATTATTATGCATTCATGTACATAATATAGAGTTGTTACAATGTTCTTATGATGAGTAAGTACATGAAACCCTGTTTGGGTGTAGCAATATTATATTGATAGGTAGCTAATGTACATGCATTAATATCAGTTTATATTAAACAAAATAACAATTCAAAATATCGTAAAAATAATAAGAAGTCAGCCTAGTTATTGAGGTATATAATAGTTATGTCAATCTGGTCAATTATTTGCAAGTCATGTGCGATTTGAACCGTGGCGTGGCGCACTTCTGCATTTCAACTGGCTAAAAAGTCGTCAACTGAATAAAAACAATTTGCTATTAATTTTTTTTTTTTATTTAGTATGAAATAATTTATCTGTCTTTTCATTTTTTTATGTCTTCTTGAATTTTATTATGAATTTGTATCGATCTATACAATGGGCTATTCTTAAAAATTTACATTTTTGATTCTGGTAATTCTATTTTGTTTTTGCGACAGGGTTTTTTTTTTTTAATTTATATGATGTAAAGTTTTGTCTAACGTACATTGCTACCTCAAGAATATAGATGGAGGAAAAAGGGTACGGAGGAATAATATCTGAGTCCTCAGGAATGGCAACGCATGGGGGGTATCATGGGCGAAACAGTATACTCTGTTACGTCCATGGTACTGCTCATGTCTATAGGCGACGGTTACCACTTTCCATCAGGTGGGCCGTCAGCTTGTTTGCCATTCTAAGTTGTATAAAAAAAAATAAACATTTTATTTTTAAATTAAGATCCTTAATTAGAAGTAATTATTTACTACTTTTTTAATTTACTTTTTTAAAAATGGAATAGTAATCCTGCCGACGCTATCGGTAAAAGCAGAATTATCCACAATGGTTTTTAGGGAGAACCGCGTGGAGGTCGACCTGATGGGGTATATTGATAGCAAGGGGACTAACCTCCCACCCCATGTTAAATGTCAATAGATTAAGAAGAGGGGACCAATATAATAATGGAGCGAATGAAGACATATTCTGAACTGACATGTCTATTGATAAGAATCAATATGTAGGGTACGTACTGACCCCCAAACGGAGGCAACAACAAAACTATGTTGATCTGTCGATAGATTACACATTGAAAAATATTTATGTTCCCATATTGACCAAAATATTTTTTTTATACCACAGGTGGCAAACACGTATACGGCCCACCTGATAGTAAGCGATTACCATAGCCTATGAACGCCTGCAATACCAGAGGTATTACGCGCGCGTTGCCGACCCTAAAGAAACCTCTTTACCCCCCTTTTGAAGAACCCCATGCTGTAGTCTCTTGGCCTCGGCAGGGAGCTCATTCCATAACCTGAGTGTTCGTGAAGAATATGTTTCAAAATATGTGACAAAAGTAACCAGGAATGCAAATTGGAAATATATTTAAATTAATGGAAGGAACATAGAAGGCAAAGGTCGTGAGGAGAAACAAAAAATTAAACAATAGAGTTACGTGCCAATTTCGAATTAGATATAAAAACTATAAGTAATATATTTGGCCTGTATTCCACAGCCGCCGCAGTTTCTTCTCACGGGTGGATGTTAGGAGAGGGTAATCCAGTCAAATTGCTTCTGGCCCAAGAAATTATTCATATAAAATCGAAGGCGTACATGGAAAGAAATTATATTTGAGTGAAATTCTTCAGACAATAATAAAAGATTTATGATAACCTGAGACCGTTGAATATAATATAGTAGTTTTTTGACTGCTACTTTATACCCGTTGATTTCAGAATGATCTAGAACACATGCATGTTGAACTACGAATAGTGAAATAATTTCTTTATCTATCTATCCTATTTAAGAGCTGCGCTCTTGTCGGTGGAACTCTTGCCACTCACTATGATTTTCAGCGAGTCTCTTCACGTCTTGATACGACACGCCACCAACTCCTTCCTTGATCTGCCTGATGTAACTATGTCACGGTCGCCCTCTTCCCCTCCTTCCTTCTATCTTACCCTCTATTATAATGTTCGTAAGTACGTCGTGTCGTATCAAGTTTCCCAACATTTTTCCCCTTCTGTCCTCAATAGTTCCAATAACTTGTCTTTTTTCCTTAACCCTAAGCAGAACATCCTCCAGCTAATTTTCTCCATCAATTTCTTTATATGAATTTGAAATTTTTAGGTATTTTATAAAATCTGTTTTATTCTTATTTCTCTGCCACGATATAGCTGCTACACTCATGAGTCTCGTAAAAGCAGAGGTTGTAGGTAAGCGGTGTAATTTAGAGTTTTCAATTATCCGACTTGCAAATGCATAATTCTATGTTTCACCTAAATACATTGTAGGTAGCCAACGGTTATCAAGTTTACGGACAAGTTCTATTAGTTTATGTCGTATAATTTATTCGATGCTTGCTATCTTTATTGCATTTCATAATTTAGATTTAATACATTAGAACTACGAACCTTGCTTTAAGACAATCTAGAGAAACGACTACGAGACTTATATAAACATATTTATTATAGTTATTTTTATTATATTGATGAGGTGCTAATTGAAAATCAGCGTTTCCGCTTTTGCAGGAACCTTAAGCTGAATTAGCATCCTTTTTCTTTACCATAACACTGGCTGATTTCTACTACTCTTTATATATAAATGTAAACTTTTTTTTCTATATTTTATTTATTTATTTTTATGTTGTTATTACTTATAATCTAAGTATATGTAAGTGTTATGGTTTATTGAAATAAATTTTCATTCGTCCATATTATTAGATAATTTAATGATTAAAATATTTTTGAATAAAAAAATTAATAACAGTGCAGTTACAAAACCTCTTAAAAATGTAGAGGGAACAAAGGATCAGTTTTCATCATTTAAGACATTATTCGTCTACTGCTAAACATAGACTACAAGGCAAAGTGTCAGTTGCAGTTAAGTATTTAAAAGATTATAATTATATATTACGCGTTGTCCATCCATCCATATCAGCCAGTATATCCATATTAGCTATTGGGAGTTCTGCTAGTATTTCCCATGCAATATATCCATTGGCAGGCTTAGCAACCGCATTTAAGCTTTGGTGATCTTTTAAGAGGAACAGTGCGGCTCATCCCTTGACCATTAAATTTAGGGGAAGGGATAACACATCAGCTTCTTTGAGAACTTTGAGGTTCCCATCACTTCAAATTTCAAATACTGCATTTTGGAATTCGTAACAGTATTTTTTGCCATTTCCATTACTGTTATTTGTAGAGAAAGCAAAATTTATGTGTCTTTTACTCGATCAAGTTATCGAAGCTTAAATTTTACAATTTTTCAGTCTTGCAGCTGTGATTTGGAATCTCGCTGCAAAACATCTGTACTCTGGTGCCAAAATCATTGAGACTGCAATGTATATTTCTAAGAATTTCATATTTAACGAAGGTTTCCAAGCAGTTTTAAAAATAATGGCAATTATGGGATGGCCGAATGGCCGCGAAGCATATGCTAATGCACAAAACCGCGATAAAGCGCGCATAGCACGCTCCGAACGCCGGACTGAAGCAAGAGTAGAACAACCCGCATTAGAAGAATTTCAAGAGGAAGAGGAAGGAGAGTTCTAAGGACCAGACATCGCAGATTGATGGTAAGTTAAGATTTTCATAGTTTTAACCTTATTTGAATGTTTAAAGGTCTTTTAAATACACTATCGGGACTTAAAGCAATGATAAATTTTTGCAGGTAAATAGTACCTACATACCTGGGCCTCTAGACAAGTGGCAAGCGAATTCGTCGATGGAATCGATATCGCTAGCGAGTCCGCGAGATAGAATGAGATAGCAACGCCGGATGACTCATTCCAACTCACGGACTCGCTAACAATATCGATTCCATCGACGAATTCGCTTGCCACTTGTCTAGAGGCCGTTCTTCTTTATTGCTGACGTTTCGACGTGGATTGCACCACGTCGTGGTCATGACAGGACCCCAATGTCGGCAATGAAGAAGCAGGTATGTAGGTACTATTTACCTATAATTTTTTTATAGTGTTAAGTCCCGATAGTTTATTTAAAACATGTATAAACAACGCGGAAAGTTTAAAATTTACAACGCGGTTTTCTCAAAACACTATTTTTCAAACTTTCCTGGAGGAAAGTTTGAAAATCACTGAACGCATTGACCGATTCACTTGAAATTTGTAAAACTATGAATGAGTGAACTAGAATTATTTGAAAATTCCAAGTATTTCTATGTTTTCGTAACGAAAAAATAAAAAAAAATTGAATTTTTAATTTTTTTTTACATATCTGCTAAAATTCAAATTTCAATATTATCAATTAATTCGAGTTCACTCCACTCGATGCATTTTAGACTTACAGATTAAAGTGCCTTTTTTTTCAGATAAGCCGATCAACCAACATCATGGAGGAAGTGAGCATCATTTATTTGGAAGCAGCTGTCTTCAGAGTGGTGTAACTTAAGTTTTAATTAAGTTTATTACTTGAAATATGTTAATATGAAATATGTAGGCCCTCACACGGGGGCACCTTTGTAAGATTTTGTTTGTATAAAAACAAAATTAGTTTTCATACCTGTTCAATTGAAAAAAGTACAATACAATAATAAATAAATACTAAAATATATGCTAGTGTTTATTAATATTTATTTCTGATTTTTATCCTAATATACGACCAATATAACTGTAATCATTATTATTACTATATTTATAACTTAGTTATATATATATATATATATATATATATATATATATATATATATATATATATGTATATGCTTATCTTATGAGAAAGGCTTATGTTCCGTAATTGACAATATTTCTTGATGGGGCGAAACAGTGTTTTGCGCCATCATGGTCGAAACAGTGTACTCTGTTATGTCCATGGTACTGCTCATGTCTATAGGCGACGGTTACCACTTTCCATCAGGTGGGCCGTGAGCTTGTATGCCATTCTAAGCTGCATAAAAAAGCAACGTAATGACGAATACTTTATAAAAGAGAACAAGAATATTTTAGGTATTAATGAAATAATTATAAAAGCGCCTGCCAAATATGATATAGCAAATCATTGTGCAAGAATACTAAAATAACAGGCGCTTAGTCTAAAATAAAATTACAAATAAATTCACACACTTACAGTTTAGGGATTTTTTGATATATAATATTCATATAGATTTATATTATTAGGAAAAAACACACACATATACACTTACACTCACACGCGCACAGCCTAATACAAATTGTTATAATAAACACAAGCGGTTTCGAAGGTATTTTACACCGGTCTCCTCCGTGCAATCAATTGGAGAGTGACTATTTTGTAAATACACGTTTATATCACGATTTTTTAATGGGTGATAATGGTATAGTAAGCTCGATTGCGTTATCAGTATACGCTGGCGAGACACCAGGTAAGGATGATAGATGACGATGAAAGCAGGTCAGTTTGCCCATCGTGATGAATCCCACTAGAACTCACCACGATGGTTGGGGAGAAAGGGATTGTTAGTAATGGAGACTGAGAACCCTATTGCTAGCAATATACCCAACCAGGTCGACCTACTCGCGGTTCTCCCTGGAAACTATCATGGTTGATTTCTGATGAATTTACCATGATGGGCTAACTGGCCTGTTTTCATTCTCATCTATCACCCTTCACTGGTGCTCCGCCAGCGTATCCCATTAGCGCAGGTGGGGTTTGTATACCATTTTCACCCAAAAAAAAAAGAGGGCGACCTGACCACTGCTAGCAATACACCCTGTATTGCTAGCAATGGGTCAAACCCCATTACTAACGATCCCTTTCCCCACTGTATCACGATTAAGTCGATCAAATATCAACACATGCACGGAGCAATCCGAAGTATGCGGCTCCGACATGGAAGTTTCAATTAAACTCGTCTTTCGTGACTATATCCAATTTTTCATTCAGCATACTTTCCACACGATCGAAGGCAGGCTGTGGATTAACTGGCATAACAATGCAGGCATATAATTTGGTAGATCAACATTTTCATTATAATCTATAAAAAACACTTCGACACGTTGCAACGACGAGCTATGAGGTTTGTCGACGATCCCAGGCTCACAAGCGGTATCGAACCCTTAAGTCTTAGGAGAGATTTTGCTTCACTCTGCGTGTTCTACCGCCTGTACAATGGATTGTGCTCAGAGGAATTGTTCAATATGATGCCCACAGCCACTTTCTACCATCGTACGGCTCGCCATCGACAGGGAGTTCATCCTCATGTCCTACAACCTCAATGGTCGCGTACTGCGCGGTTTCAGAGATGTTTCCTCCCATGAACACTCAGGTTGTGGAATGAGCTCCCTGCCGATGTTTTCCCAAGAGACTACAGCATGGGGTTCTTCAGAAGGGGAGTAAAGAGGTTTCTTCAGGGTCGGCAACGCACGCGTGATACCTCTGGTGTTGCAGGTGTTCATAGGCTACGGTAACCACCTACCCTCAGGTGGGCCGTATGTTTGTTTGCCACCACAGTGGTATAAAAAAAATACACTGCAACTTTAGTGATGAAACATATTGCTGAACGTTAAGATACGAGTATCTCTTTTTATATCCTAATTTTTTTTTAATGGAATGGTAACCCTGCCTGCGCTAACGGTATACGCTGGCGGAGTACCAATGAGAAATAATAAGTGACAATGAAAAGGTAGGTCAGTTAGCCCATCGTGACGAAAACATCTAGAGTTAAGTACGATGGTTTCCAGGGAGGACCACGTGGAGGTCGACCTGACAGAGGGAATGTTACTAGCAATGGAGCTGACAGTGTGTTTTACTAACAATCCCTTTCCCACCAAGTATGTATTTTTTTTAATGGGTGATAATGGAATGGTAACCCTACACGCGCTATCGGTATACACCGGCGGGGCACCAGTGAAGGATGATAGGTGAGGATGAAGCAGGTGAGTTAACCCATCGTGACGAATTCAACAAGAATTGTTCACGACGGTTTTCAGGGGGAACCACGTGGAGCTCGACCTGACAGAGGGAATATTACTAGCAATGGAACTGACAGTGCGTATTACTAACAATCCCTCCCCCCCCCCCCCCCCGGTAAGTATGAACAAAGCGGAAGTGAACTGTGACGTCACTCGACACAATGTTGTTGACATTTCCTCAGCGCTGAGTTCCGTTCAATAGAAAGGCGCCAAACTGGTTAGCGTCTTGTCCCACCACACTCTGAGACGATTTCAAATCAATACTGCGACACAGAAACTACAATATTGGTGTCTAAGACAAGGATTCCTAAAATGTGTTCCACGGACTTGGAGGTTCCGTAAAAAGGTCAATAAAACAGTACCTATAGTGAAACAGTTTTATTTTTCACATTAAAAATTAAAAGAAGCTATAAAGTATTGCACTTTTGTCGCCGTGTGCCGCGACATAGAATGGGCCACCCCTTCCTTTCCCTTGAGTGTTCTAAGAGGCAACTATGGGTGGGCGAGGTATAGACAGCAGCGCCCCTCTTAAAACATCTCTAAAAGCCTAACTGTGGTTGTCAACCCGCCTGCCAAGCGTGGCAACTACTGGCAAAACTCCCCCTTATGGGGAAGGCTTATGTCCAGCGGTGGACAATTGACGACTGAAATAATATATATATACTTATAAATATTTCTAATAAAAGCTTTACTTCTTTTTTTTTTTAATGGGTGATAATGGAATGGTAACCTCACCCGCGCTATCGGTATACACCAGCGGAGCACCAATGAGGGATGATAGGTGAGGATGAAGCAGGTCAGTTAGCCCATCGTGACGAATACAACAAGAATTGTTCAAGATGGTTTCCAGGGGGAACCACGTGGAGGTCGACCTAATAGGGCATATTGCTAGCAATGTCGAACTGCATTGCTAACAATCCCTTTCCCCCCTTTACTTCTTATTTAGATTACAGTGTTTTTAATATGTAATCGTTTGATAAGGGATCCCATAAATGTGATTTATCTTGTACCCAATAATAATTTTGCATGCTTTAGAATATAAGGCGAACATTTGTACTTCACCTAATCGATCAATATCTGTAAAAAACAATGTTCTCGCAAATAAAGAAATCTAATCTAATCTAAAATAAAAGGTCTTAGATAAAGACTAGGCCTAGTTTAGACACTAATGTGCTGGGCATAATGTTACTATTTTTACTCATTTATTTATTTATTTATTTATTCATAGGAAAACCAGGGCTACGCTAGAGCAAAAAAATATAGTTTAGTATAACAAAATAAGCCACTAATAGGTTTTCACAAGTAGCAACAATGTAGATACAAGACACTGTACACACAGCAACAAAAATAGGAGTTAACAAAAATAGTGAAGTTAAATAAAAGCTTGTAAAAAAAATTAACAAACAAGAACGAAAACAAAAAAAAAATGATGAATAAAATACAAAGTAAAAATGAATTACAAGTATTTGATTTAAATATGGCCTTCTTGTCCATACAATAGCTATTCAAGCTGACTATGAATAAAAAATTGCCTACACAGTTGATCTCTCACTGATATTATTTTTATGTTTTTCGAATAACTAATACGAATTATAAAACTAATAACTTTTACTTATATATTTAACTTTAAAATTACTGTAATACATGACTGTATATTTTTACGTATATTTTGACTGAAATTTTTCTATTTTTACTAATATAATAAATGTGAAAGTTTTTTTTTTTATACGATTTAAAATGGCAAACTAGCTAACAGCCCACCTGATGGAACCGTCGCCTATAGACACGAGCAGTACCGTGAACATAACAGAGTATACTGTTTCGCCCATGATACCCCCCATGCATTGCCATTCTTGAATACTCAGGTGTTATTCCTCTGTACCCTGTAAATTCACTATCATATCATATATATATTCGAAACACGGCCATGCAAACACAACTACTTCATGATAGAACACGAATTGGACAGAGGTGCCCAAGCAAACGACTTTTGTACAAAAGGTAAAAGGTCTCTCTGGTAAATAAAATAAATAGAAAAAATATAACATTGATTTGGTTTTTACTGTCATAATATTGTAACTATGAATAAACTAGCTGACTCGGTAAACGTTGTTTTACCATATACATTGTTTCTAGAACTATACATGAAAATATATCGTACTACAATTATTATATTCAATTGCCATCTTGCAACACTATTGCGACATGTAAAAATTACGATTAAACAACAGGGGTTGATCGTAAAAGCGTGAAAATTTTAATTTGTATGTATATTTCAATGCTAAATCATAATAAAATAAAAACAAAATAGAATTGTCAAAATAAAAAAAAAATAATATTAGTGGGTCACCTTTATCATTGAGGGGTACGAAAAATAGATGTTGGCCGATTCTCAGACCTACCCGATATGCACACAAAATTTCATAAAAACCGGTACGGCTTTACCGGACTTTTTTCGAAGTTTGGTAACAAACACCGCGACACGAGAATTTTATATATTAGATAAATAAAAATCTATAAACAGTTATTCAAATACTAAATGGTACTTTACTAAGATATATTTACTGATACAAAAGTTAAATTTGTTCAACTCGATTATGTACAGTAACTTTACGAAGCTGTGCAGGATTTTCATACCATTAACTGGACCTGAATCGTTAATTGTGTTCATG